ACTCTTTCCTGCCTATGCAGGGGGTCAGACTCGATGATCTGTTGAGGTCCCTTCCGACCCTAACATCTATGAATCTATGAGGATGCTGAGGGAGTTGGCTGATGCAATTGCAGAGCCACTGGCCGTCATCTCTGAAAACTCACGGCGATCAGGAGAGCTCCCAGATGATTGGAACAGGGCAAATATAGTGCCCGTATTTAAGAAAAGGGAAAAAGGATCAGGGAGCTACCAGACCAGTCAGCCTCACCTCAGTCCCTGGAAAAATCATGGAGCTGGTCCTCAAGGAATCCATTTCCAAGCCTTCTTCTGATCACCTTCTTCTGGAGGAGAAGGCGATCAGAACAGTCAGCGTCGATTCACCAGGGGCAAGTCATGCCGGACCAACCTGACTGCCTTCTATGACGAGGTGACTGGCTCTGTGAATGTGGGGAGACCAGTGGGTGCCGTTTACCTTGATTTTAGCAAGGCTTTTGATACGGTCTCCCACAGCATTCTTTCAGGCAAGCTGAGGAAGTACGGGCTGGGTGAATGGACTGTAAGGGAGATAGAAAACCGCGTGGAGCATCGGGCTCAGAAGGTAGTAATTAATGCCTTGATTTCTAGCTGGCAGCCGGTATCAAAGTGGAGTGCCCCAGGGGTCGGTCCCGGGGCCGGCTTTGTTCAATGTCTTCGTCACTGACTCATGGACTTCAAAGATGGCAGAGTGCATCCTCAGCAAGTCTGCAGATGACACCAAGCTGGGGGTATAGCAGATACACTGGAGGGTTGGGCTAAGATTTAGAACAATATGGACACATTGGAGGATTGGGCCAAAAGGAATCTCATGAAACCTCAAGGACAAGTGCAAAGTCCTGCACTTAGGAGGCAGCAATCCCCTGCACCGGTGCAGGCTGGGGGGGATGGGCTGGGCAGCAGCTCTGCAGAAAAGGACCTGGGGGGACAGGGGACACGAAGCTGAACAGGAGCCAGCAGTGCGCCCTCGGTGCCGAGAAGGATACTGGCATCCCGGGCTGCATTGGTAGGAGCACTGCCAGCAGATCGAGGGCAGCGATTCTTCCCCTTTATTCAGCACTGGGGAGGGCAAATCTGGATCCTGTGTCCAGCTGTGGCCCCCACTACAGAAAGGATGTGGACACATTGGAGAGAGTCCAGTGGAGGGGAACGGAAATGGTTGTGGGGCTGGAGGACAGGACTGGTGAGGAGAGGCCAAGGGACCTGGGCTGACTGAGCCTGGAGAAGAGAAGACCGAGGGGGATTGAATAGCAGCTTCACCTCCCTGCAGGGGGGCTGCAAAGAGGATGGAGCTGGACTCGTCTCAGTGGGGGCAGATGGCAGGACACGGAGCAATGGACTCAAGCTGCAGCAAGGGGAGTGGAGGTTGGATAATCAGGAAGAACTCTCTCATGAGGCTAGTAAAGCACTGGAACAGGTGGTGGAATCTGTATCCTTGGAGGTTTGAAGACCCAGCTCAACAGTCTTGGCTGGAATGATGTAGCTGGGAGCTTTCCTGCTTTGAGCAGGGGGCTGGACTAGGCGACTCCCGAGATCCCTTCCAAAGCTCATTGTAACAGGGCACCAGCCTCAGGCCCCGTTAGTCTCAGTTGTCCCACCGGACCGGAGCCCGCAGGAAAACTTACCCTTGTACTATGGGATGGCGGCATGATTATCAGAGCTGTGCAGACAGCATCCCGATAGAGGACTGTATCACCTCCGGGGCCACATGCGACTGAAGACGGCGCCCATTGGCCAATGGGATTTCCGTCAGAAGCCAAGAGAGGCCACCGGCACAACTGAGATTCCCGAGAAGAGGAAGCACGAGAAAGGATGGGCTCATGCAAGGTCACGCAGAGGCAAGGAGGCAGTACCGGGAGCTATGATAGTAAGCCAGAGCTGGGGACAAAGCCAGACCAGGTGAGGGCAAACTCCTCCATTAGAGAGGTGGCAAAGAGTGAGCTACCTGGACCAGTGAGTTGAAAAATTTAAGAGTGCTGCTGGGGGGCGGGGGTGGCGAGCAACTCATCCTTGACAGGCTTAATGGGGAAAGGGATCATGGCAAATCTCCCTATGGTTAAAACTAAATATAAAGGACTGAAGGAACGGCAAATAAGTTGACTAATCAAAATGCAAAAGATTTGATTAATTGGAACCCAATAAGCCTATTAAATCGATGAAACATAAATATGAACTAATTGATGGATGATACTCACTACTAAATGGAACATAAATAAAGACAAATTGAATGCGGATAAGCTCATTAACTGAAAAAAGATATATTGCCATTCAGTTGATTTGTTTATGTATCCTGTGGCATAGTATAAATAAGAGCCAATTATTATGTGGACCAGTGGCAACACATTTACTGACAAGGGAAGTAAAGATTAATTAAGGGTGCATGAACCCACAAGTACTGGACTACTAACTGTTGGTCCCTGTGGGCAAGAGACTCTGTGTCCACTGGCTGGGAATGACCCTCTCAGCAGCACAGAAGAGGAAAGGGATCTCAGAGTCATAGCCGACTCCAAGATGAACACGAGTCATCAGCATGAGGAAATCATCAGCTAAGCTAACTGCACTTTGTCATGCATCAGCAGATGCATGGAGAATAGATCCAAGGAGGCGATACTTCCCCTCTATGCGGTGTTGGGCAGACCGCAGTTGGAGTACGCATCCAGTGTTGGGTGCCGTACTTCAAGAAGGATGTGGATAGACTTGAGAGGGTCAAGAGGAGAGCCACTCGTATGGTCAGAGGCTTACGGGACAAGCCCTACGAGAAGAGACTGAGGGACCTGGACCTCTTCAGCCTCCGCAAGAAAAGGAGAGGGGATCTTGCGACCGCCCACAAATTCATCAGGGGGAGGCAGCAAAGGATCGGAGATGCTCTGTTCACCAGGGCGCCTCTTGAGGTAACAAGGAACAATGGTCACAGACTGACAGAGAGCAGATTTAAACTAGATAGCGGGAAAAACTTCTTCATGGTAAAGGTGGCCAAAATTTGGAATGGGGTTCCAAGGGAGGTGGTGCTCTCCCCTCCTTGGGGGGTCTTTAAGAGAAGGCTGGAGAGGCATCTGGCAGGGGTTGTCTGACCCCAGTACTCTTTCCTGCCTAGGCAGGGGGGTGGGGTTGGACTTGATGATCTGTTGAGGTCCCTGCCGACCCTAACATCTATGAATCTACGATTCACTGCAGCTGGGCCAGACAGCCTGGAAGGGAGGGACAGCGGGGGTGTCCTGCCTGCCAGGGGAGAGGCTGAGCCCACGCACCTCTCCTCCTCGATGCTGCCACTCTCATTGTCATTGGCGTCCGTGTTCTCCTCCAGGTCATCCTCGCCGAGGTCCATATTCAGTTCGTTCCCCGCCTCCGAGTGAGTGTACGTGTATCCACTGGAGAGACAAAGGGCAGCGCAGTGAGCGTCCAGACTGCTCCCCAAAGAGGCCACGCTGCTGGGGTTCCCTGCTGGCTCCAGTCCAGGGGGGGAGGGTCAGGCCCTTGGCTGCTCTGAGAAGCAGCTATTGAGTGTCCGAGTCCAGCCCCTACAGCCATAAGAGAGGAGGGTAGGTGGCCACCCTCCCTGCAGCTGGCAGGCAGCACCCAGGCCTTTAGAGAGCAGCCAGGTGAAGGGCACCCTCTCTCTATGGGGCCACGGCTCCCAGCCAGATTGTCCTTCAGTTTAAGAGCGATGCTGTGAATCCCTGGAAGATGGAGGGGCCTGGCTGCTCCTGCTGGGTTGTGCCCCACTCCACTCCCATGGCCGGCTGGCTGGGGGCACTGGCACAGAAAGGAGGGCAGTTCCCAGACATTCATTTGCTGTGTTCCAGCTCAGGGGGGCACCCGGGGTCCTGAACCAAGGGGCTCCGGCCCACCAGGGACATGGCTTTCAAGCAGGCAACGCAAGGCTCCTTTAAGGCGACTTCCCCGAGGCCACGTGACCTGACCTGATGGAACGGCAGGTGAAGAAGACGATCCTCTTCAGGCGCTTGTTGTAGAAGAAGTAGTTGAAGGACCAGAGACTGCCGTCCTCCCCGAACGGGTCCGAGTCCAGGTCCGGGTTGTAGCTGTAGCAGTGAGAGTGCAACATAAGCGATGTTCCTCCGAGGGCTGAATGAGGGGGCTCAGGACATGCAAGGCTGGGCTCTGTTGGGCCCAGGGGCACCAGCCTGCTCCAGTGAAGGGGAGGACAGGGACCCTTGCTGGGACAGAGAGCAGACTCAGACTTTTTATCATGGCCTGAGCCAGCAAATGTCCTCTCTGGCCCTGCCTGCTACGCTGGGAGGTCCCAGACGCCTGCTGGATGGGGAAGGCGAGTCGCCCATCTGCCCATGCTGCTTCTAGGCTGGGCATGAGCACAGGCCACTATCCACAGCTGTGACTCCGTGGGAGGGGAGTCACAGCAAAGGAGGAGCACCCCCCACCCAGCACCCTGCCCCATAAGCCAACCTCAGGAAGACACCCTTCTCCATGCTCCACAACATGTTTGGGAAGAGGGGCCTGATGATCTGAGGCTGTGAGGGGCAGGCCTGGCCCCCCACCCCGCAGGTGGTACGCACCTGTAGATGTCGCATTCAGAGAGGCAAATCTCTTCGTCCACAGCGTCCCACAGGTGAGGCTTCAGGGCATTGAAGTCCTCGCGGACTGCTGAGAAGAGGCTACAGTTGACGGCGTTCACCACCTGAGGAAGCCGAGACACTGATCAGGGAGCTGTGAGCAAACCGCTGTCCCGCAACACTGGGCAAGCGCCCACTCCTCTGGGGTCCACTCACGGTTCTCACAGACAGGAGAGCTGAGCTGTCTCAGCGCCTGGTCCTGGGAGGTTATCCCACAGTGGTCCAGAAGGCAGGCTAGAGCCCTGCCAGCCTAAGGCATTGCCCCCACACCCCTTCAACCCAGCAGGAACGAGCCTTGGCTTTGGAAGTGCAGGACAAGTTAACCCAGCCCTGGTGCCTTGAAGACTGCGGAGTCCACAGAGAATGAATCTGCATGCAGCCGTCACTCCAGAGGAACCAGAATCCAACCTAGTCCATGAAAGCGAGGGAGAGGTGCAGACAGATACGCTCCTGTGAGACTCAGAGGCCCTGAGGACGAGAAGCTGGAGTGTAGGTCACGCAGGTGCCAGGGACAGGGTGGTTAGATCTGTTATAGGCTCCCATGGGCACCAGAAAGCCCTGGGGAGTGCTCAGGACCCTCCATGAAGCAGCAGAATACCCAAGGGAGGTGCGGGGAGGAAAGCAACCCTGGAGCCCTTGACACGGGCCAAGGAAGAACTGGGGAGAAGCAGAACAGTGCACCCCTGGTAGCAGCAGGGGTCCATGCTCAGGGAAAGGCAGTGATGCTGACTCCCAGGGCCATGCAGAAGTGCAGGAGGCTATGCAGGCCTGAGGGACTCCATGGCAAGGGCATGGCCTCTGCAGGGCAGGACCAGCATGCCCACCAGGGTGTCCTGGTACGTACCCAGTTGAGGCTCGGCTCCCTGCTGAAACCGCGGGCCTTGGGCGC